TTAAATCGTATTTTGTTAATAACAATTGCAATTTTTTACCTGCACCAAAATCCTTCAAAAACATCTTTCTAGAGGTGATTCCGAATCGAATGAGCTATCGCTCATGTTTTTAGGACCTTTATTTCTATTTTTCATGTTTTTGAACTTGTTGATTAGACTAAAACTGTTTTATGAAACAATACAGTGCCTTATCGTTCAACACTACGTCGGTAGGAATTACGCAGTTTTAGTTCATCTTCCATGTAACCTACAAATCGTTACTATCACGGACATTGGAATCAGCATTCCAGAAATAAAACATAAAGAAGTTCATGTGGACAGAAGCTGTGGAAGCTGGAAACGCAAGAACCTCATCATTAGAAAGATATCTATAGAACACTGCATCGATTGTTGTAACATGTCTTGTGGTAGTAGGTTGATTTTGATTATTATTCATTTGTAGTTCTTATTCATTGTGTAGAAAGTTCTCAAAGAATTGTCCACCTTCGAACGGAAAATCAACATTGAAATTATCTGCTAAAATTAATGGCATCATATGATAGTTATCTCCTAATTCTTCAGAGCCTACTCGGCCGTAAATGTGTGATCTCACCTCTCTCTCTCTTGCCCCTACAGAATATACGAAACGTAACTCTTCCTCTTTCTATCTTCACTAACTTATATCTCCCTCTCAACTTCCGTTCGCCCGATCACATTTCGTAATACTCTGATCACGCATTCACCAGTTTACTCCCTTAGTCGAGCGCGCGTAAAGAAGTTTTAGTTCAATAATATTCTAAGGGATGGTATATTCAAGTAACACTTCATTGTGAGACCTAATTACCTTGTGAAATACGTGTTGCTGTTTTGTAAACTGTTCATTTGAAATCTCGTGATAAAGTGTTACTCATATGCGTTATAGATTTTTATCAAGTATCATTCATTTCCATCACATAGTTGGAGCATTATTTCAGAAAGTATCTTGATCTAATAAACATGGCAATGTGAGGTTTGTGGATTTTTTGACCACGCCATAACCTTTGCTAATTTGACAATGTATTTTAACTCCTCATTATCGTTGACAACTTACAGTATCTTGATTACGTGGAAGGTAACTTATCGGAATTGGCTGCCACAATAAATCATCATTCCATATTTGCATCCCGATAGGTGGAAACATTCCAGCACAAAATAACTGGGCACTCATCCTACATCTGTCTGAATAACTACTGGTAATATTGACATCCTTGAACCAATAGGTGTCCGGTATGAAGTGTTTGTAATGGGCCTTCGTCATTTGGCCCAAAGTATACAGTTGTAATTTTCCCCTCTATAACAAAAAAAAATTACTATATCATAACTGTGAATTTGAGAATACTCCCCTGTTGCAGAATACAGAAAGAACATGAATCAATGATCAAATGGTAATGAACGTTGTCGAAGACACTCAATTGTCATAACATGTTTTTGCAGTTTTCATCGTTTTTCCACACTGAATGATGCAATACTTCTTTCAGTTCAATTTTTTTGAAATATTCACTTGAGAAAGAGTTATTAGTATCATTGCAAATGAATATTTTTTTCCGTATAGCTAAGGTGTTTCTTTCTTTGTGAAAAGTATATATATATATATATATGTTACCACATTGTGTGATTGATAACTTGTTTACT